AAATAATGTAAATATTTTAATATAAATTATTTTAATATATTATATCAATTATTTTTTAATTTGTAAAATTATTTTAGAATTATCATAAATCTTTGGGAAATTCCAAGAAACAATTTTGGGTTGATTTAACCCAAAGAGTGAATGAAATTGCTAATAGCAATTTTTCTGGTATTTAATGTCAGAGAAAATTTTCCTTTTTAGTTGTCGAATATGACGTAAGTAAAATTATAAAAATGTAATAAAAACAAAATAATACATTATATATAAATATTTTCTTTATTTTCTTTTTATTTAGAACTTAAAGTTGTTAAGGTCAGAAGATGATAGGGAAAAGAAGGGTAAATTAGCCTTTCAATATTATGAATTATTCAATACTTGTTTTTGGGATCCTCCTCGTAAATATAAAGAATTTTATATTTATATTTAATAAAATTTTTAATTTTACAATATATTTTTAAAATATTTTATATATATATTTTTTAGATGATGAATACGATAATAAATTCTAAATGAATAAATGGGTATGAGAGCAGAGAGACTTTAGAGATAGTATAATAATATACTTGTTATTAAAGTTTAATTATATATTTTTTTTTGGATTGCTAATTTTTTTTCTTTTATAGAAAAAAAGTGAAAGGCTTTTAATATAAAAAATGGTAAATACATACTTTCTTTAAAAGGGTTGATATTTTGACAAATTTATGCTTAATAATAACTTTATTTTTTTTTAGAGGAGCGATCTGCTCCAAATTATAAATATAAACATTTTTAAAGTTTTGATTTTTTGACAAATTTATGCTTAGTAATAACTTATTTCTTTTTAGCTTAAGTGTCTGAGTCATCAGCTCAAATTGGTAAATACAATGTTTTTTAAAGTTTTGATTTTTTTAACAAATTTATATTTAGTAATAACTTATTTCTTTTTAGCTCAAATGTCTGAGCCATCGACTCAAATTAGTAAATATAATGTTTTTTAAAATTTTGATTTTTTTCACAAATTTATGTTTAGTAATAACTTATTTTTTTTTAGCTCAAGTCATAGAGTCATCGGCTCAAATTGATAAATACAAACTTTCTTTAAAAGTTTAAACATTTTAACAAATTTATGTTTAATAATAATTTTATTTTCTTTTAGTAAAAGAAGTTTCAGAAAATTGTAAATACAAATATTTTTTAATAACTTTATATATTTTTAACAATTATTTGACAAATTTATATTTACTAATTATTCTCTTTTCTTTTTATCAGAAATTTTTTTTATTTATTTTTTATTTTTATTTTTATATAATATACAATTTTTTTTGCTTTTTTTTATTTTTTTTTTGCTATTTTTTAAATCATTTTTTTTTATTTTTTTTTTATTCTCAATATACATTTTTTTTTAAAATTATTTTCTTTTTTATCTTAAAGAACAGAACTCTAAATACTTTAAGTCTATACATTTATTTTGAATAGCGAAGCCCAATTTGTACTAAATATCAGCTGAAGATTCAAATTTTTTTTGAGCTATTAAGATACTGACATTCTTGTCATACAGCCTAGATACTATTTATAATAATAGTAGCAAACAAGTACTAATTTTATAAATTATAACAAATCTATTAATTCTTTTGTTTTTAGTATAAAAAATATGAATTTATTAAAAAAATATAGAATTTCTTTGATAAAAGTATATTAATTTTATTGTAAAAATCTTATAATTTTCAATGTAATAAATATAATTTTTTTTAATTATTTTATATTTTATCTTGAGTAACAAACCCAGCTTACATCAAATATTAGCAAAAGACAAATTTTTCTCGTTGTGCTTGTCTGATTACTATTTATAATAATAGTAGCAAATACCTATCAAATTTCCTAATGTAGAAAAATCTTAAAAAAATTAAGAAGTCATTTGACTAACATAATGTGCAACATAAATAAACATATACCTGCTTGTGTGATAAAATAATTTTTTACATAAAAGTCATGAATTTTTTTTTGAGCAGAATAGAGTTTATTAATATGTTTTCATAATTAATAAAAAATTTTGAGTATTAAAGTAAGAGTGAAATAAAATCTAAATCTGCATAATCCTCAATGCCTTTGTAAATTATACCCTTATTCTTAAATAAAAACTTTTGGCATTAATTTAAATTACATATTCTTCTGCTTAGTTAATATCTTGAGAAATGTAATTATAAGGTATATAAAAGGGCAGTATAATGAAAATTAGGATATTTATCACTTTATAATCATTTATTTTATTTATGTAATATACTATTAACATTTCACTTCATTATATCTTCTTCTGAAATATTTAACAAAATTCTTAATTTTTTACATAATTCACCTTTAGATCATATTACTGCATTTTCTGTTATTTTTCAACTAATAGAATATGATACATAGTATCCAAAAGAAGAACTGAGAGAAATAATTCATAATGTAATTAATAAGATGAAAAACCTTGACCAACAAAATTCTAAAAAGTATTTGAAAATTGTTGACATTCCTTTAAAGGTTAATGATTATTATTATTTTATCAGATTTATATTCCCAAATGATAATTATGCAGTAAGATATCCTATAGTCAAATTAAGTGAGTACCTATAGCTATATAGGTACAGGTTTAAATCAATTGCATTAATTCTTTAAACATATGAGTAGAACTTGATTTTGTGATTATTAGTTTATCAGATTTATATTCCTAAATAATGATTGCTCAAAAAGATATCTTATAATCAAACTAAACTAGTACCATAGCCATATGACATTAATTTAAATCAATTGCATTAATTCCTTAGATATACAGAGGTAGAACTTGGTTCTGATTTACAAAGAAAAATATACCATTCATATGTATTGTCAGTTGTATGCAGGCCACATATGATTGATAATTTATATGAAATATTCAGATAAGAACATGCTGTTAACATTACTCTTTCCGTCAAATAAGTTAATTATGATTTGAAGTCAGGGAGATAATAGCTATGACTTAAATTCAATTAACTTGATACACTGTTTATTAAAGAGTTTATTTAGTTAACAAGAAATAAATTATATGTTTTATGTTTGTAAAATGTTAAAAATGTTTATTATTATTATTAAATGTATATTAAATACAATATTGAGAACTTGTTAAAATCTCATTAGAATCTGTTCTTTTTCCAAGGCATTTTCATACCCTTTATATAGAAAAATTACAATTAAAGAAAATCTATGATATTTATGATATTACTGACAATAATAACAGAGCTAACAGATATGCTAATTATGTTAAATATGTTATAAATGATAATAATGATATAAATA